TTAGTTTTTACTTCTCACTTCTATGAATATAGATAACAAAAGCTACTGATCAAAGCTCAGTTGAGACTATAATAGCAATAGTTTCCAGCATTCAGTTTTCTTCACCATCTCCACACCCCAACCACCATTGTTTTATTCATTCACCCAGTAATGGGGCTTTCCCTAATTCCACTCCTTTATTCCAGAGTAGTTAGACACATGATTATAACTTCTTCTGTATACCCAGTGTGTGTGTGTGTGTGTGTGTGAGTGTGTGAGTGTGTGTAAGTGTGTGTGTGTGTAAGTGTCTGTGTGTGTGTGCGTGTGTGTTGCTGAGGATGAAATATGGAATGCTGCACATGCTATACAAGTGCTCTACCACTGAATTATTTGGTCTTGCTCACAGAGGCCCTTCTCTTAGTAATTTCTTCTTCTTTTCAGTTGCCTTCCTTCTGCCCCTACCCCCTCATCTCCTGCCGGTATTGGTCTGTGGTGAAGTCTGTTAGGTAAATAAGCAAGAATAAAACATGCTTCAGTATAGATAAACTGAGTCTGAAAATCAATGTCATAATTTGCTGTGTTCAGTCCAGCTAATGACTGGGTCAAGGTTTCCCCAGGATCTTTTGAGGACCCATCAAGATACCAAAAAAAAAAAAAAGAAGCTGAAAAAAGAAGCTGTATATTGGAAGTCTGTAAGTTGTTTCCTGATTTTACAGGGGGTTACAAATAAGAGATTGCTCAAGTTTCAAAGGAAACTTTGAACTTTTAAACAGTGTGGAGACCATGAAAGACTATGGGGACTTTTGAAGTTGGGCTCTTCGTGTTTCGCATTATGATATGGCTACAAGCCTGAGGGAACCAGGAAGTAGAATATGGTGGTTTGAGTGAGAATGTCCCCCAAAGGCTTATATATTTGCCACTTGGTCCCAATTGTTGGACTATTCAGGAAGGATGAGGAGGTATGTCACTGGGGTAAGCTTTCTAAGGCTCACATCAGTCAGGTCTTGCTCTCTCTGGCTCCTGTTTGTGAATCACAGCAAGACCTTAGCTGCTACTCTGGTGCCATACTCGTCTTCTTGCTGGCCATGATGTAAATGGACTAACACTCTAAAACTTTAAGCCATCCCCTAATTAAATGCTTTCTTTTCTAAGTAATCTTGGTCATTGTGTCTCCTCATAATAATAGTATGGTAACTAAGAAAATAATCAGGAAGGGAGCTGGTCCCACCCATACTTAATGAATTGTTTATTCATCTGGTAGGAAAAGCCATCCCTGGATAATTAAGGGAACTTATTCTCCTCTGCTGGATAGCTTCACAAGCTAACATCATCTAAGAGGAAGGAACCTCAATCAAGAAAACGCCTCCATAAGATTGGGCTGTACACAATTAATGGTCAATGGGGAAGATCCCAGCCCCTTGTGGGAGGTATCACCTTGGGCTGGTGGTCCTATGCTCTATAAGAAAGCAGGCTGAGCAAGCCATGATGAACAAGCCAGTAAGCAGCACTCCATTCCTTCATGGCTTCTGCATCAGCTCCTGCCTCTAGGTTCCTGCCTGCCTGACTTTCTGTCCTGACTCCCTTCTATGATGAACAGTGATGTGGAAATGCAAGCTGATTAAACCCTTTCCTCCTCACCTTTCTTTGGTCATGATGCCTCATCACAGTAATAGAAACTCTAAGACAACTCTTATTTTTGGTTGTTCTTAATAATCACCTTAAAAGCCAATGAACACAAAATGTTAAAAATAATAATAATAAAGCCAGAAAGTTCAGGAATACAAAAATTGTAATAAACCACAAAGTGTCTTTAATTCTTATTAGGAAATTAGACAATATTCTACATTTTTGTTACCAGCTTATTCCACTAAAAACTGGGGAATTGTTACTGTGTGGCCATTATTTCCTATATGCTTTCTGAGCTTAGGACAGTTTTGTCTCTGGAATATAAAGTGGTGCTCCTGGGTCATTGGTGAAATTCATTTGAGAAGTACTGAACTGCTGTGCTCAGCAGGAACCTCTTATCCTAAGGGACATGTCGTGGATTACAAAGAGATGGTATGACTTCCCAGGGGCTGTATCCATGTCAGCAACACACATTCACTCACTCCTTTCATTCATTCAGGGCATTCTCTCTCCCTCCCTCCCTGCCTCCCACCTCCTCCATGTGTGGGTGTGTTTGTATGGTGCTATCATAAAAAGTTCTTGTAAAATAATATTTGCCCTTATAAAGCTTGCTTGACTTTTTGTAAGCATGATTATAGTTAGAAGACAGAAGTTCAACATAATTGTTTTTCTTGTTTGAACCTGTACCATTAGAGGCCCATTGTCTACCCAAGGACCTTCTGATAGCATCATTCTACTAATGTCTACTGAAAGTGCAAATACAGAAATTCCACCCATAGCCTGTGATCCAGAATAGGAAAATGCCCCTCCAAAGCAAAGAGGAAATGGCTTCTGGGGCAGAGGTGTCACCTTTTTCACATTAAATCAGATCATTAGTTTAAAATATCTGTGGTTTGGTAAACCACAAGTGGAATACACTACCAACTCTGGTGTCCACAGATGCTCCCCTATGCTCCAGATTTTCCAGTAATGTCCCCATAACTGTCCAGCCAGCAGTACACATCTGTGAACCCAGTCTAAGACTGTTTTGACTTTTTTTTTAAAACTTGAGTTTGCACATTTCCATTCATGGAAGAAGAGCACTTTCACAAGCATTGGGATGGAAAGGGGAAAAGAAACATTATCCATACCCCCACCTCCCCACCCCTGTCAGCACATGTCTTCTATTTTAGAAATAAAGCTTTAGGCAAAAGGTGTGGTTAACAGAATGTAGGAAAATCTACCAAATTTTCACTGCAACAGCCTTTATCCAATATGCCAACAACCTAAGATACTAGCTTATTGCATATCTTCCTGTCAAGGCTAAAAGCCTTGTGCTCTGAAGCTATTCACATACCATAACAAAAATAGATTGTGGATCTGTGTGTTATCTTACACAACAAAGGGACTTGGCAGTGTGATTAAGAACACTGAGATAAGATCACTATCTTGGATCACCCCAGGACCCAATAATCCAGTGGACCTACCATAAACAAAAGGTTCCTTATCAGTCAAGGAAGGAGACAGAAGAATCAGATTTTAAAAAGATATGAGCAATAACAAAGAAAAGGAGACTAGAAAGGATAGGGGACACAGGAGGAGCTGGATAAAGAATAAAAATGGTGGGAAATGATGTGATTATATTTTAATAACAATAAAAATTTGACTAAGACAGATGCTGGATGGTTTTTGAAGATAATATTTTCATAGTTGTTAAAGTAGAGAAAGTGTCCACAAACCAAAGAATCAGACAAAGGAAATGGATTAATTCTTCCCTAGAACTACAGAATGTATCTCTAGCCACCTATTTTAGAATATGTGACAATCTATGTGTATTGTGTTAGCTCACCAAGATTGTGGTTTTTATAGTGGCATTAGAAAAGTGATTCAATACATGCAGCAATAATTGAACTTACAGAGTTATTACTGACAAAATGAACTATTAGTAACAAAAAAGAAGACATGTAGTTGAAGAAGTTGGAGGAAGGTAGTAGATGGATATGATCAATATACATTGTATAAATCTATGAAATGTTCAAAGAATAAAAATATTTTGATGAAAAAAATAAGAGATCCAATTTGAAATTTAAGTAAATATTTAATAAACATCAAATTTATAGTGCTTAAAAGTATTTAAAGATAACCTAATTTGTATACCTCTATCCATACATATTACATCTATTAGATATATTAGATCTTGGGTAGAGTGTCTGTTTCATGAGGCAGGAATATGATAGGTGTAGCTAACTGTTTTATTTGGTCCCCTTTGTGAAACACTATATTTTAAGCATGAAGACTGCTAACACTCCATTTTAGCTTGTTTTCTTAAAAGTCCACTATAGTAACAGAATGTTATGCTTCTATTTTAAAACCTAGAGTAGTAGTTCTCAACTGCCCTTTTAATACAGTTCCTCGTGTTGTGTTGATTCCCAACAATAAAATTATTGTTGTTGCTACTTCATACCTGTAATTTTGCTACTGCTATGAATCACAATGTAAATATCTGATATACAAGGTATCTGATATGCAATCCCTAAAGGGGTCATGACCCACATGTTGAGAACCACTGGTCTGTAGTCTCATTTACAGATGCTCAGCTTTGGCACTGTTGACATTTGGGGCCAGATAATTCCAATTGTGTTTATATTCTCTAGCCTATATTGATATAGTATCAGCCACCAAGCTGGGCCTTCTCAAACTATAGATCTCTGTGAAAGGCTGTCTGCTTTCTGTGTTACTAGATTCTTCCCCAACTTCTGCCCTCTTGAGCCTGTGCTTTTTAATATCACTCTGTGATATTTAAAATGCTATAATAATCTAACCATAGGAAAGTCACTTGACTACTAAACAAGAATGTAAGAAATATTAAATTCATACATAAAAGTATTAAACTATAAAATAATCATTAACTCAATTTGACTAAAATGTCACAACACAAAACATTTTCCAAAAAGATGGTTTTTAATGATGAAAAACCGCAGTCAGTACATATTTTTCTGATATTAAGCATGTCCTATCAAATATATAATGTTAAACTGGTAGAACTACAATTTGCTTTATCATGAAGGGCTTGTGATTTCATGTTAGAAAAGGACACTTAGGAGTGAATGGCATCCAAGTAGTAACTACACCTTGCTACAAAGAGAATACCTGGGAGGAAATACACTCAGGAGCACTGTGGTGTTCTCCTCTGTGTATTAAGACAAGTTTAAATAGTATCTGCTGAATTATGAAATTCCTTTCATTCCCCTAGGTTTTATAGTCTTTTGAGTCATATAAAAAGCAAAACTGATCCAAAACAAATGTTTGCTTTAAGCTATTTCAGTATACTAACGTACGACAATTCCTTTTAAAAGTGGGGGGGGGGAGGAGGAAAGGAGGGAAATAGAAGGAGAGGGGGAAAGCCATATTAGTCATTTAAAAAAATATCCATTTGGCAGAGGTTTATCTTTTAAAGCCAAACAACAAAAAGTAAACAAATACCCAACAACAAAGTGGGCCAGTTGCCCAGATGCAGCTAGAATATTAGCTGTTTTTTATGAAACTCAGTTTACCACCTTCTGGAGTCCCAGCCCAAGAACCAGCCTGTGAAGGTGGGTGGCTCATGGCCTTGTTTTATGATGACAATTGGTGTCCTCTTATCTCTTCCAGAAGGGTCTGTCTCAAGGTACATTTTGGCTAAAAAGAGTTGAAAAGACAAAAGTTCAGTTTCAGTAAATTGAAATAAATATACACTAGAAAGTGTTTCATACGAATAGAGAATTGAATTGTTCTTGCCCCCAAGTAGCCTAATGTGAACAGTCTCTAGTCATGTCTCTCATCTGCCATGCAAAGTACCATTATAAAGTCTCATTGTTGCCTTAGAGAATTCTGAAATTTATGAGATTATCCATATGATTATCCTTATCCTTCAGTAAATAGAAAACTGTTTAAAAGGACACCAAATTTTTTAAGAAAGAATCATATTCTAAATTAGACAACAAAACATTTTCCTTATATCTGTTATGAAATTCTTTCACTTTAAAAGATACTATTACTCAAGTTCCGATGGACAGCAGGAATTCTGATTCAATATGTATTTTTGGAAGACAGGGTAAGAGAGGACAGGCAGGCCAGCTGTGATGACCATGCTGAGTTACTGCCACAGTTGTCCCAGGACAGCTTACCAGACTTCACTGATTCCTTTTTCTCAACTTCATTGGCATCTTTCCCGATCCAAATAAAGATCTGAAAAGCAGAACAAAAGTGTGTGCTGTGTAGGGGGTGCTGACTCAGTGCTTTGGCCACACTCCACCTTTAGAACCCACACAGGAAGAAGGTGAAGGCAGGACCTGTGGAAGCTCTATTCCTTTCTCAAGGCTCCCCCTCACCACGCAGTGGCTCTGACTACAGTTCACATTTGAACATGTTTGTGTGAGCTATTCTAATTATAAAGTGGGCTTGCTTCCTTTCACTAGATCAACAGCTTCCTGACTGCTTTTGTGTCCCTCTGCTGGCCAGAATGGCAGTCATCTCCATCCCAAGCTGTAGGTCTAAGCAGCAAATGACTATGTATAGGGACAGGGCTTGTTTCTGAATGTCCTTGGGAATCTCTGGCTTCCATCTGGTGCTTTCTTGTAGTTTAGTGCAATATAAAACTTTGATAAAGTGCTATAATGTTCAGTAGTTAAATATCGAGAGTTTAAATTTTAACTGGGCTGTAGTAGTGTGCTCCTTTAATCTCAGCACTCTGGAGGCAGAGGCAGGTGGATCTCTGTGAGTTTGAGGTCACCCTGATCTACAGAGTAAGTTCTAGGATGGTCAGGGCTGTTATACAAAGAAACCCTGTCTTGGAAAAAGAAAAAAACAAAAACAAAAAGATAAGAGTTTAAATTTTTATTAAAAGTGTTACACATATAATTGTGTAAAACAAACATGTGACTATGTAATCTGTATATATCCACTCCTTTGTCAAATGTGTAAGTTATTTTAATTCTGAAGCAGTTTCCTGAGTCTCCTGAATTACTTTACATTAAGTCACCTTAATGTAACTTGGCAGAGCAACTTTGGTCAAATTAAATTTCTATTGTGTTCTAATTCACACACAGTGTGTTAAAGCAAACAAGATACTGTGACAGTACAGTATCTTAAGTAAAAGGTATAATTTATAAAGAAATGAAATGCAGTACTGAGAGGATATAGGGTTGGATCCCTGTTGTGGAATATTACTTTAACTAGGCAAAGATGTGTTCCTTTGTTCCTGCTACCTTTGTTAATGATTCAAAGATGTGTTACATTTGTTTATGCTGGACTTGTATAATTATGTAAAAGTGTGTTGCTGTTTGACCTTGACTGCTTAAGGCACCTGATTGGTCTAATAAAAAAGATGAATAGCTAGGTAGAGAGGGATAGGTAGGGCTTGTGGGCAGAGAGATAAGAGGACGAAAGAAAGAAAAATAAATGGACATGCTTGGTCAGAAGCCAGGCAGTCACCAGCCAAACACTCAAGAAAGCAGGAAAGTAAGAAAAACAGAAGGACAGTAGAAAGGCTACCATAAATGCCCTTCCCTGGTAATGAGATTGATGACTAACTTATCCACCATTATAGAGCCCTCATCTAGTAGCTGATGGAAACAAAATCAGATACACACAACTAAACATTGAGCTGAACTGAAATCCAGATACAGAGAGGGAGAACAAGACCAGGCTACAGAAACCCACAAAGACAGCTGACCTGAACAAGGAGGAGCTACTGGGACCCCAGACTGATAGCTGGGAATCCAGCATTGGACCAACAGACCCCCTGAACATGGGTCTCAGTTAGAAGGCCTGGGCAGTCTAAGGGACTTCGGACAGTGGAACCAGGATGTATCCCTGGTGCACAAAAGGACTTTGGAACACATTCCCCATAGAGGGATAACTGCCTTAATCTAGAGGCAGGAGGGAGGGCCTAGTCCCACCTCCAAATGACTTGACAGATTTTGTTGACCCCCCTCCTGGAAGGTCCTGTAGAGTGAGGGGGGATGGAATGGGAGGGGAGTTATGGGAGGGAGAGAAGGAGGGAAGGAGGAAGGGAGGGAGGGAGGGAAGGAGGGAGAGGGAACTGGGGTCCATATGTAGAATAAGAAAAAAAAAGTACAGAAGGAAAGAAAGGCAAAAAGCCCCAAGGCAAAAGATAGAGAAAGAGAAACAGGTTGATTTAACTTAAAAGAGCTAGCCAGAAATGAGCCTAAGCTGGGCAAAGCATTCATAACTAACAAGTCTCCATGTTATGATTTGGGAGCTGGTTAGTGGCCTAAAAGAAAAAGGCTACTACAAATCCCCAATTCAAATATGGTCTTGGAAGACCAAAGGCTCAGATGTGATTTGCTGAGTGGCTTAGTTGCTAGAAACTCATCTGAGCACTTGCTTTTGCAGAGGATCCGAGTTTGATTCCCAGCACCCATTTGGTGTCTCACAACCATTCATTACTTCAGTGCCTGGAATGTGGTGTTCTCTTATGACCTCTGTGGGCAAAACAGTCATACATGTAAAATAAAGAATGATTTTTAATATTTCCAGATTTATTTTTATTTATGTATATGAGTGTTTTGCCTATATGTGTGTCTGTGTACCATATGTGGGCTTGGTTGCACAAGAAGTTGGTGAGCTTCCATGTGGGTACTGGTAATCAAATCCAGGTCTTTCACACAACAACAGGTGGCCTTAACCATTGAGTCAACTCTCCATTCCAAAATAAATAACTCAAGGAAGGAAGGAATGAAGGAAGGAAGGAAGGAAGGAAGGAAGGAAGGAAGGAAGAAAGGAAGGAAGGAAGGAAGGAAGGAAGAAGTCAGGCGGTGGTAGCACACATCTTTAATCCCAGCATTCAGGAGACACAGGCCAGCCTGGACCACAAAGTGAGTTTCCAAAGATATACAGAGAAACCCTGTCTCAAGGGAAAAAAGAAGGAAGGAAAAGAAAGGAAATGGGGAGGGAGGGAAGAAGGGAGGGAGGAAAGAAGGAAGGGAAAGATCTGAAAACAAGTATGTGGTTGACTCCAAGAATCCTAATCCAGTGTTTGACATATTGTTCTATTTACTTTCATTCTTAACATATGTTTGTGCTTTTCACAGTTGCAGTTTACACAGAGATTTTAAAAGACCACCAGATATATACAGCCTGTCCAGTCTCTACCAATTTTCTCCTAAAGTGAGATCTTCGAAACAGAAACATATTTTGCTGCTTCAGTTCAAACCTATCCTGTGCCTGATTTTTTTTCCTGCAAAGGATGAGTTCCTTAGGAAATCTTGTCAAAATTCAGGAGAAATTCTTAATATTTTGGTCTCTCTGACAGTATTGTACAAATTTGTGTACTTATTAATATGGTGAATGCACAAATAACAGTGAGTATGGTTTACAAATAAATGAAAAGTTAAAGTTTTTGCCTAAAGCTGTAAATGGTAGAAACTGTTAGAAATCAATAAACCCTGTGGCATTTCTCTTGAGGACAGCCTAGGTCCCCAAACCTATTTATTATCTGAATTGCCATTTCACAAAATAAGTACTGTCAATTCCCAACCAGAAGTACAGACTCTTGTTGTAAGCAAAAGTTAGCTCTACCTGTTCCCATGCATCAAGTAGCATGACATCATCTTCTGCTAAGTCATCTTGGGTGAACTCTCCAGGAACTTCCTCGATCTGAAATGTTTGAAGAACTTTATGACCAAACAATACAGCAAGAAAGTTTCTGATACACAGGAGACAAATGCTGTCTTTACTTAGGATGACAGTGAAACACTGGGTTAGTCATATTTTTCTTAGTTTGGGGTAACAGATTTATCTATGCAATCAAGTATCACAAACGTATGGTGCAGTCTGGTCCAGATAGCGCTTAATATAAATAAATACAGCATCTGAATACCTTTAGGATGGACATGTACTGCACGGCTCATCTGACCTTGCAGTGAATGCGCCAAGACAAAGACTTCACAGATTTTGTTGCCTGACTAGTCTCAATACATTTGATATAATGGTCTGAGTATGGAGTTATGTTCCTAAGGTCATTTTAGTTAAGATTTAGTTGTTACTTTAATAAATAGAAAATTTAATAAGACAGCATAATATATAGACATTTTCATTGTTTTTAGTTGTAATGGAACATATTTTGGCTCTTTACCATTAAATGGTAATTAGGTTACTGCAGTAACAATATGAGTAGACACATGTTGATCTGAAGTTCAAAGTTTTAGAGAGTTTTGCAATTTTTCCTGATTGTTAGGAAGATTAGACAGTTTAGATTTTAGTTCCCAATTCCTTGTACCCTCTCTCTGAGCAGTTACATGGATGGAGTTGACCTTGGCTTCTGCTAGTCTATATAGCAAATGTGACTTAGCAGTGCTTTCCTGGGCTTCTGACTATCACAGGAAAATAGGCAGAAGCTCCAGGCTGAGCCCAACTAAAACAAGCTAACCAGGAAGCCCTGTCTGGTTCTTACATGTTTGTGTGTCATGAGGAAATTCTGAAATCCTTAAAATAATAAGAAAAAAATCAAAACAAACCAGAAAGCAATCCAATACATTTAGAGGGAACTAAATTGATTTATATTGTCTTTTGGTTTTAAAGATTATTATTATTATTATTATTATTATTAAATTATTTTATTATTATTGTCTTAGGAAGCCAAAAGAGAGTAGATTCTGTGGATCTGGAATTATAAGTGGTTGTGAGTTGACTGATGAGAGTTCTGGCATTGAATTTGGGTCCTCTACAAGTGTAGTATGTGCTTTTAACCACTGAGCCATCTCCCTAACTCTGTACTGTCTTCTTACAGAATATTTATTAATCATCTGATCATCTGATCTTTAAAAAAAAAAAGTCAGAAGAACAGGTGAGTGACCTGCCTATCACCTGAACTGCCCCTCTCCTTAGAGTTTGTTACCAAAGACCCATAATCAACCCAGATGCCTAAATGCCAGTGTGAGAATAGAATCAATAACAGCCAGGGTGATATACTACTGCCAGAGCCCAACCATCCTATGATGACCAAACCTGAATGTCCCAAGACAGCTGAAGCACAAGAAAACAACCTTTCAAACAATTTTATGGAGCTAATAGAAGTTTTTAAAGAGAAATGAAAAACAAAATTTCCCTAAAGAAATTAAGGGGAAAAAAACAAGGAAGAATTCAATAAATCATTTAAATAATGCCAAGAAAAAAAATAAACAGATAAAGGAAACTGTTTAAGACCTAAAAATTGAAATGGAAGCAATAAAGAAAACAAAAACTGAGGGAATACTGGAAATGGAAAAATCTGGGTAAGCAAACAGGAACTATAGATACAAACATCAATAGAATACAAGAAATAGAAGAGAGAAGAATCTCAAGTGTTGAAGATACAATAGAAGAAATAGATTGATTGGTCAAAGAAAATGTTAAATCTAAAACATTACTAACACAGGACATCCAGGAAATCTGAAACACTATGAAAAAGACCAAACCTAAGCCATACAGTGGTGGCACATGCCTTTAATCCCAGTACTCAGGAAGTAGAAGTAGACAGATCTTTGTGAGTTCAAGGTGAGCCTGGTCTACAGAGTGAGTTCCAGGACAAGCTCCAAAGCTACAGAGAAACCATGTCTTGAAAAAAAAAAGGAAAGAAAAAAAGAATAATAGGAATAGAAGATTCCCAGCTCAAAAACCCAGAAAATATATTTGACAAAATCATAGAAGAAAATTCTCCTAACCAAAAGAAGTACATGGTTACAAAGGTAGAAGAAGACGCTTACAGAACACCAAATAGACAGGATCAGAGAAGAAAGTCCCCTCACCACATAACACTAAACATACAGAACACAAAGAATATTAAAAGCTTCTAGGGGAAAAGGCCAAGTAATATATAGTCAAACCTATTAGAATTACACTCAACTTCTCAAAGGAGACTAAAAGCCAGAAGGATCTGGCAGACTCTAAGAGACCATGAATTACAGCCAAGACTATGATACAAAGCAAAACTTTCAATCACCATAAATTAAATAAAATATTTTATGACAGTCAAATTTAAACATCCATAAATCGAGCCATACAGAAGGTTCTAGAAGAAAAACTCAAATGCAACGAACTTAACTGCACCCACAATAACACAAGCAATAAATAATCTCACACCAGTAAAATCCAGAGAAGGGACACACACACACACACCACCACCACCACCAACAACAACAACAACAAAATAGGAATTGATATCTTTCAACATCAGTGGATTCAATTCCCCAATAAAAAGACACTTGCTAACAGAATGAATACAGAAACAGGATCCATTCTGCTGCATACAAGAAACACACCCCAAGATCAAAGATAAACTACCTCAGAGAAAAGGGTTGAAAAAAGATTTTCCAAGCAAATGTCCCTAAGAAACAAGCTGTAATAGTTATTCTAATATCTAACAAAATAGACATTGAACCAAAATTAATCAAAAGAGACATAGAAGGATATTTCATATTAATCAAAGGAAAAAATCCATTAAGATTTATGCCCCAGATACAAAGGCATCCGCAGTAAGCTTAAATCACACATCAAACCCCACACACTAAGAGTGAGAGACTTCAACACTCAACTCTCACCAAAGGACCGGTCTGCCAAACAGAAACTTAACAGCGAAATTAGGGAACTAACAGCTGTTAGGACTCAAATGGACTTAATAGACATCTATAGAACATTCAACCCAAACACAAAAGAATATGCTTTCTTTTCAGCACCTCATGGAACCATCTCTAAAACTGACCACATATTTGGTCACAAAGCAGATTGCAACAGATACATAAATAAATAAATAAATAAATAAATAAATAAATAAATATGGCAATAAACCCCTGTATCTTATTGGATCACTGTGGCTTAAACTTAGAACTCAACAATAACACAAATTATAGAAATCATACAAACTCAAAGAAATGAACAATGCTCGACTGAATCACCACTAGGTCAAGGAAGAAACAAGCAAGACTTCATAGAATTGAAAATGAATGCACAACATACCTAAACTTAGGGAATACTATGAAAGCAGTGCTAAAAGGAAAATTCATAGTACTAAGTGCCTACATAAAGAACACAGAGAAATCTCCTAGCAACTTGACAGCACACCTGAAAGCTCTAGAAAAGAATCAACCTCACCCATGTGGAGTAGATGACAGTAAATATCAAACTCAGGGCTGAAGTCAATAAAATGAAAACAATATAATACAAACAATAGAAAAAAATGAAGAAGTTGTTCTTTGAGAAAATCAACAAGATAGACAAATACTTATCAAAACTAGCTAAAAGATAAGAAATATCCAAATTAACAAAATTAGAAATGAAAGGGGGACATAACAGATGCTGAAGAAATCCAGAGAATCATTAGGTCATACTTCAAAAACCTGTACTCCACAAACTTGGAAAATCTAAAAGAAATGGACAATTTTCTGGATATGTACCATATACCAAAATGATTAAATTAAGACCAGATAATTTAAATAGACCTACAGCCCCAAAGGAAATAGAAATAGTCACTAAAAGTCTCCCAATCAAATAAAAAGCCCAGGGCCACATGGTTTCAGCACTGAATTCTACCAGAATTTCAAAGAAGAGCTAATACCAATATTCCTCAAATTGTTCCACACAATAGAAACAGAAGGAACATTGCCAAACTCTTTTTATGAAGCTACAGTTACCCTGATATCCAAACCACACAAATAATCAGCAAAGACAATTACAAATCAACTTCCTCATGAACACTGGTGCAAAAATACTCAATAAAATATTGACAAACTGAACCCAAGTGACACATTAAAAAAAAATCATCTACCATGATCAAAAAGACTTCATCCCAAAAATGCACAAATGGTTCAACATATGAAAATCTGTCAATGTCAGACTTTTATGACCCCTCATGGAAGGCCTCACTTGGGGAGTGGATAGGGGATGAGATGGGAGATCAATGGAGAGCATGTGAGGATGGGAGGGAGAGGGACTGGGATCGATATGTAAAATAAGATTGTCTCTGTTTTAAATAAAATTTATTTTTAAAAAAAATCTGTCAATGTAATCCACCATATAAATAAAGTGAAGGAAAACCTTATATCTCATTAGATGCTGAAAAAGCCTTTGACAAAATCCAACTCCCCTTCATGATAAAGGTCTTGGACAGATCAGGGATATAAGGAACATACTGAAATATAATAAAGGCATTATAGAGTAGGTCAATGGCCAACATCAAAATAAGCAATTCCACTTAAATCAGGGACACTCCATAGCTATTCAATATAGTACTTGAAGTTCTAGCTAGAGCAATAAGACAGCTGAAGGAGATCAACATATTGGAAAGGAAGAAATCAAAGCATCTATATTTGCAGATGATATTATAGCATACATAAGTGAAAATCAATATGGAGTTTTCTCATAAAATAGAGTCTACTTCAATACCCAGCTATAACCCAAAGAATGCCCTATTCTGCTACAAGAACAATTGCTCAACTCTGTTCAAGCAGCTTCATTTATAATGGCTGGAAGTTGGGGGGGGGAACCTAAATGTTCCTCAACAAAGAATGGATAATGAAAATGTGATGCATTTACCCATTGGATTTTTACTCAGCTGTTAAAAACAAAACATCATGAAATTTCCAGGCAAATGGATGATACTAGAGAAAAAAAATCATCCTGAGTGAGGTAACCCAGACTCAGAAAGAGAAACATGGTATATACTTACAAGTTGACAGAAGCTATTAAACATAAATGGCAATCATGCTATAATCTGCAGACCCAGCAAGTCTAAATAACAAGGGTGGGGGTTAAGATGAGATTCAAGACTTTCCCTTGGAAGGGGCAATAGAATAGATTTTGCAGGTGGACTGGGGGGGGGGAGGTTGGGGTTGGGAACAGGAGGAGCATGCAGGGTGTGCAATAGTGGAATAAATGACTGGAGGGAAGGGAAGGAAAAATACAGGGAGAAATGACAGGAAATGGAGTGGGGAGCATTTCTGGGTCAATGAGAAAAGCTAGTGTAATGAAAACTCCATGGAATTTATGAGAGTAACCCTAGCAAAGACTCCTAGTAATGGGAGACCTGGAATCTGAACCAGCCATTTTCTGTACCCAGACAATGCCTCAAGTGGAGGGATGGCAAACTGGTCCCAAAAATTAATATTTATCAATACCTGTTATTACATCTTAAATTTTCAGGTTAAGTCATTTGTAAGATTCAAGTATGTTTTATAAATGGACAGGTTCTTTAGAACTTTGTTTCTAATAATGTATCTGGTGAGCTCTTGGGAAATTTTATGTAATAAAAATTGTTTGTATTCACCAGGATGAAAGGAATCCCTCCTTTAAGTTCACACAAAAGTCTAGCAGGTCACAGATGGTCAAACTTTTCTGATTAACTGGAACTAAGTGGCTATAGCCCAGAATGAAATTTCAGAATCCAATATAAAATCATGTTCTGTTATGGACTCTATGTTAGTGTTCAGTATCAGGAGATAGAGGCTAATGTGAAGTAATTAGGTTTAGTTGAAGTCACATGGATGGCCTCAGTGACTGGAGCTGTGTAATAAGAGACTTAGTCACTTCACTGGGCTATGTGACCATGCTAGAAGGATCCTTCAAGATAACAGCTGGTGCCTGGATCTTGGACCTCTCAGGCTCCAGAATGTAAGACAGGCATATTTGCTGTTTAAACACCTCAGACTACCACATCTGTGTTAAAACTTAAACTAGGACTTTATTGCAGGCAATTTCTGCCCAGATGAAATATTTGATCTAGGAGGATGTTCATTATGACCCAGGGTGTTCTAAAGGGAGGCAAAGCATTAAGCTCAGAAAGTAAACAACTGAAAAACTTCAGGAAGTCTGGGAAACTGATTAGATACATTAGGCCCCTTCCTTCCAGAGCATATGTAAGTAGCAAGGACTGTTGAGAGACACTCTCAGACCAGCCAAGATGCTTGGAAGTGACAGTCTACATCCCATTGAGCAGTCTGAAAGTCATGCAGTGCACTCCGTGTTTACAACTGTCATGAGCTGTCCTGCATGTAGGAGTTGACTTTTGATGATGTAGCTGTCTTTGAGGCATTAGTAACACTAATAAAACTCATTGGTTTACCACATTGGACTTTGGTGGTTTCCTTACTTTGGTCTGTCATTGGTTCTCTATCTGGCTGTGAGTAGACATTTGTCCACATATCCCTAGGAATAGTGTCACACAACAGACATTCACAATCTTCTAAGTTTACTTTTAATTGCCTGAACTGTATAACAAAACATTCCAGTTGATGTCAGTTAATTTTTAGGGGACCACAGAGCTCTCTGTGACTTTTTCTTTTTCATTCAATCAAACTGGAGAAAATTTCCATTCCTCTGTGAAACTAGCTGGAAATTTTACACTTGGATGAACAATAATGGCTCCCCCAAGAAAGTATCTAATTACTAAGTGAACAGAACCAGCCATCCACAGTTCACAAAGAAACACTAAATGCTGAAAACAGATATGAAGTAGCTATTTTTAAGAGCATTTTAATTAATACTTTAGCGTTTTCTAGATGTTTCCGCATTTGTCACATCATTGGGCCTTAAACTATCCTGCAGACAGTGAAGATATATCACCTACAGTTTACAGAGAGACTAACTTAAGACTCACAGCAGTCACACATCTGGAAGTTCTTGGAGCCAGCACAGAATGCCTAACATTAGACTCTGTTTAAGACACTTACAATGAATCTTCCGGTTTTGTTGGAACAGCCGTAAAGCCGAGGTGGATGGTCTTCAGCCCGTGTTTCTAGCAATGGCGAGGTCTGGTAGTCTCCTCTCCCTCCAAGAGAGTTCCAGAACTCCTCTATGGAACACATAATGAGATAGCCAACGAGTATTCAGGAGCACATGCTTGGTAGGATTTTACATTAATGGCAATACTATCTCATGCTAACTTAATTATACCAGATGACATCAACACTTTTGCAATTAAAGGAGCCATCCTTACACAACTCTAACGATACAAAACATGACTATTTCTTGAATGAAGTCAATTAAGCACACAGCATATGAAAGTGGTGACACACCTGGTTCTTGACCTTCCTGAATCCTTGAGGTTTTGCACTTGAGGACATCAGTCACATACTCAGCTCCTTTCTCCTCCTCCTGACTAGCGCCCTTTCCTATCCAGGTGAAACCATTGTTCCCTGGCAGTTTTAGGACGAAAGCATCATTGGAATTCAATGAATTTGCATTAACATCAACCTGGAGCATGAGGGAAAAATAACACAATTCAAATTCACTACTGTGGCCATGCAACACCATCCAGCCTTCTGCCTAACCCCAGGAGATTAACTCAAGACACAGGTGCAACTGGAGTAAGTACACTGTGATCAATGTCACATGATGTTCAGCTACCTTCAGACAGCAGAGCAAGGTTTAAAACTTTGGTAGATTATGGTATCCCAAGCCTTTAATCCCAGCACTCAAGAGGCATAAGCAGGCAGATCTCTGTGAATTCAAGGCCAGCCTGGTTTACATAGATATTTCAGGGTAGCAAAAAGTACATAAAAAGACCCTGTCTCGAAATTAGTTCATTAAACATAAATAGATAAATAAATAAATAAATAAATAAATAAATAAAATAGGCAAGCCATCAGTCAAAAATTGAGTGTTTTGGCCAGACACAGTAGTTCACACCTAATTCTAGCACTCTAGGGGCTGAAAGAGAAGAATAATGAAAAGTCTACCTAAGCTACACAGAAGACTCCATCTCAAAACAAGGCAATAGGTTAAGAGCCTACAAGGCTCTTCTGAGGACTTGAGTTGGGTTACCAACATCCACAACAGGTGGCTCCCAATTGCCTGTAACTCCAGCCCCAGGAGCTCCAACACCATGGTAGGCAAACATGGCAGGCAAACTTAAAAGATTCTCATTTAGATAAACACAAAAATTAAGGAGCAAAAATAGTTCAATTAAGGACTTGACAAAGTAATAAAAATAATATTCAGTGATACTACAAAGGGCAAAACACATATGGCACCTGAACAGAGTGTACAATCCTAAGTGTTAAACAAAGCAAAGATGATTCCCTTTCCTCTCCGCTAAAGAGAGGGTTCTCCAAAGCCATAAAACAGAGAGGGCAAAGAGGTGGCTCCAGGTACTCTAGACTCATTTTCTGACTCAGATAGATGCTGGCTCAAATTGTAGATCTGTGGAGAGTATGAAAAGCAGATCTGGTACACACGTTCCTTGTAACAAGAAGCTGAAGACACAGCCACTAGTCTGCCAAGTGCAATATAGATTCTTGTGTCCACAGATGAGGAAGCTCAGATGGATTAGACACTAACTTGTGGGTGTGGCCTATAGAAGCCTCGGGACAAGATCCATGCAGTCTCTGGCCTGGCCATGATCATAAGCATGCTAGGATAGGCTTGGACCTAGAACTTTGTGGTTTGATTAACATTGTGACCACATCTGTGATAAGCAGTCTGGATGTACAGTCATATAGCTGTGCATGATTTTCTAAGTAATTGTGGAGCTGAGTATGATTTCACTCCCAAGAAGACCAGGAACAACCAGTAAGCCAGACTGAGACAGAGCAAACGAAGAGGGATGAGGAAAATGGGAGTGTGGACAACTGAGACTACAGTCAAGAGCACGTCAAGAAGGCAGGGATGATACACTGTGCCAAATGATGCTGCTCCGCCCACCTCACTGAACTGTCCAGATCAAGGCATCTGCTGCAGGAGAGATGGATTTTGCCAGTTTGTAAGGGTCTGACCTAGAGAGAAAACTTGAGGGAAAATGAACGGCTACTGGAGGTTAAAAGGCAAGCTCTGGAAATTGGTAGCATTTGGGAGAAATACAATTGTCCTCTTTCAGCAGGAATGAGGCCTCCTGAACCAAGCAAGGAGATCATCAGGTGAGATGATGGAGAATGATAGAAACCAGGTCTGGATTTCAGGACTTCAGATTTCCTATCTATTTGTTTCCTTTTTTAATGCAGAAGAAATAGCCAGGAATGCAAAGAAAGGTAAAAAGAAGCCAGGGTCCAGATTGGTGTGAGACTGGAGAAGAGTTTAGGAAGCATCAACTTTCCAAGAGGCAAGATAGACGGTGACATAAAGTCATCATGACTGATGTGTCAGAGAACCTGGAGAGGTAAAGGCTGATCCAGGATGCTGTAGAGAAATGGGGTGGTACATTGAGTTCAGCTGAGGATGCCTCTTAAAGAAACACCAACTCTGGAAGAGACAAAGAGGTCAACAGTGAAACTCTATGCTAATCTTGTCTGCATCATTCCAATTTTAGTAGGTGTGCTGCCAAAGTGAGCCCAAGTGGGACATTATGATTGGCTCTTCCATATAAAATCAAATGAGCATCCAAGAGAACTCTATGTCAGTACAATGGATTTTTAGAAAATAGTTGTGGTTAAATACATGAGAATCTGTGCCCAGAGTCCTATGAGATCAATATGGAGAACAAAATTTAAATGATTGACCACATAAGATCACTTTGGCCTGGAACACTTGACATGGCTAGAGGCCAGACAGAGTAAACCTCAGGAAAACTGCTCTAGAGGGGTGTCTAGCATTTTAGAAGAACACTCAGGAAATGTGGTGACAAAGTCACCTAATCAGAAAAATATGCTCAATAAATAGTTTAAGTTGGTGGTGGCGGAGAATTCCTGCAGCAGATTAAGAAAAACAATCAGAAAAGTGGCCTTCGAAGGCGTTGTTCCCTTCACCTGGCTTTCCTTATTCAGGCCACTGAGGATTTGTGCTCTTGGAAGGACAAAACTGATGGACACATAGAAAATCTGGAGAAAGCAAGAGACAGTTTCTAAAGAATTTGCTCTCAAACACATCTCCTGGTTTCAAAGTAAATGACCCAGGGTACAAGAATAAGTTAGTCATGGATATGAGGAAGGAGATTGCACCTGCAGTCAGGATAAACTGCAAATAGAGAATATGCATGGGGCTCTCCTGCCTGCAAGTCAGGAAGAACTGTAAGTACAGGGTATGCATGGGAAACTGAAATCAAAGGAAGAGTCTAAGCAAAACCAGAGAGGGGACATTACACAGAGGAGTAGAACGGGGGCTAGAGCAATTTGCTTTGGTTAAAAGCCCTACATTTTTGTTGTATATAATAAGCATTTATTAGCCAATTTAGCAAATCACTATAAGATATGTAATTTATGGGTAACGTTGATATTAACATAAAACACTTCATCACTTTCATATAAGTTAGTAGTATATGAACTACTTTTAAAAATACAAATATGCAGAAAATTTTTAATTATTCCATAACCCAGAAGAGACAATAACATCTATGTACAGATGTAGTTCATGACATTTCGGGAAAGCAGATCCGGTAATCTGTGGTGATGACCTTTATATTCCCTCTGGGAGTGAGGAAGCGATGCGCAGGAGGAGATTGTTGGAAGAAGAAAGACAGAATGAAAGTGGCAGAGACCATGGCTGAAGCCATCACAATGCCAGGGAAGGACCAGCTTCTCCGCAGGTAACAGCAGAAGAGTGATATAAGGGAGGGGCCACAGGGCCGAGGAGCTGCTTTGGTAGGAAAGTGGGGGCGGGGGCACCACAAGAAGAGGGGAAATCAGAGGGGCCTGAGGGAACAAGGAGACTACCTTGCCCAGTCCCATGGGGGTGGGGGAAGGGGTAGGAGTCCTAGTGAATGGGTACTGAGGAATCACAGTTTCCATTGAAGGGGATTGGTGGAGTCAGTCCTCAGAGGACAGCCAGTGATGGGCAGGAGTCTCAGAGAGGTCTAGTGGACCAAGGAAAGACTGGCTGAATTCTCAGAGCTCGCTGAATGGCTCATGGAAACTGAATGGGGTTAGGAACATCTCCAGATCTGGGGAGACACAGAGCGATGGAGTGATGGGAGAGACCTGGATTTCAATGGTGACCAGAATTCAAGGTGTGCAGATTACTAGGGTGTGGCCAGATTGTCATGTTCAAAGGGCCTTATTCTTAGATATCCCCAGGTTTCAAGGCCGTTTGGCCATGCCTCATAATCCTTCTACCCCAGACCTTTCAAGACAGAGCCTTGGCTGCCTCCTTCCCTTGCCAGATTTACTGGCTGTGATAGTCTCAAAACTCATTTGTTTGGGTTCAGTGCAGCTGAAAAACCAAGCTGCCCTCGCATCCAATGACCCTTCTTCTAGAAGTAAAGGGCATTTACTTGCCAGTGTGTACAGGTTAATATTCCTAATGGCCAGGGGTGTTGAAAAGTTCATTCCTGGAGCATATTCAAAGAGTGCTTAGCCTTACCTCCACAATTCTGGTGATAGATGCCAGGTTCCTCCGGACTTGAAAGAGGCGGGTAGGGGGAGCAGGTGCCTGCCCCTCTTTCCTGGATGTTCCATTTTGATAAATAATGAGTGGTTTGTTTTTGAACAAACTCAGCAGGTGAGCAGGCTCTTTGCCTTGAGAGACACGGACCTGGGAGCACACAGCAGGGGAACAGAAGTATGAAAAGCTTCCAGCAGCCAGGCAAATGGGAATTGAGAAGCATGCCCAGTTATAGGGGCCTGGGGAATACTGAAAATATCTGGCTTCCTAGATATGGTTCAACAAGTCCACATACAAATGGGTGAGCAGCTACTTCCAGTGTGGTCGCACAGTTTGGTAAGTGTGGGAGGGAGTACTGAAAACCCCTACTACTACGTCACATAACCTTCAAAAACTGGCAATTGCCAACATGAGGAAGGGACACTGATTAAGGTCCATACTTTCCTCCAACGGAGATTAGACAGGGAAAATGGTGGGTTAAATTGTGTAATAAGTTGCTTAAATACTGCCAAGATATTCCTCCAAAATTACAAGAATAGAGCCGAAATTCAGCTATTGAAAAGTAATTGTTGTGAACAACTGCCATCTAGTGACACAATAAGAAATAGTATTTCATCAACTGTAGGATTCAACGGGCTAATTCCCAGAAATTCACAAATTGGATATCATATTGTACTGTGAAATCTTGAGCACTATATGTAATTGCAAACATTTTGAATCGTTTGTGAGAAATAACTATAAGCTCAACTACACGACGAAGGTGACATCTCTTCTTACTATAAATATTATATTCCAATGAATGAAATACTTGATGGAGCTGCATACACCTAAATAAGTCAACAATTTTGTTAATCAGTTTTTATATAAACATGGTTAATGTGCCCTTTAAACATAAAACCAGCTTGATTTATGTATCTATTAATTCATAACAAGATGGAAAGAAAGCAGCTAAGGACCAAGTTTAGCCTCCATATCCCCATCTTATTATCTAAAGTATCTGGATCATCTCTCTGCTTAATTTTTACACTTGAAAACAAACCCACACACTTATAAAGCTTTGAAAAAATCTTTTTGTTGTTGTTTGGTTTTTCAAGACAGAGTTTCACTGTACATAGTCCCGCATCTGTCCTGGACAAAACCAAACCAAACCAAACCAACCTTTTCTGCCTCTGAGAACCTGAGCTCACCTGACATCAGACATGAGGTAGCTAATCTGACACATCCCTGTGAAGAGAACACTTCATGATGTTGAATCAGGACTGTCATAAACAGGCCAATGGAACTGTCTAGAAGATGTTTTCCCCAGCACATGGCAACAAATGGCATCCCCCAAACCTACCAGGGAATACAGCCAGGTGGTAGGGTAAGCAACCTGATTATAGAGAGAAAGGAAAAAGAGAGAGAGAAACAGAGGTCTCCAGCTAGGAACAAGCAAGTGTCACTGTGTTCAGGTAACAAGAGTAGACAGATCCTCTGCAGGCAGAGAGGAAGAAACTAAACAGGCAAAACCCACACATCTCCTGTGGTTTACTAACAACAGCCCTGAGGGTGGCCGATACTCCAGCATAAGGGGGGGAAGCAGAACTTGAAGAAAGAATGTTGATATTGAAACCCACCAGAAACAACTTCTTAGACACAGCAGAGAAATCTACCTACTGATAACTACTTACTGATACTGTCTACTTACTGTCAAACATTAGCTGTTGCCCCCTCTCATAGACACAGTGTGTGTGTGTGTGTGTGTGTGTGTGTGTGTGTGTGTGTGTATGTGTATTCAGTCATTTTCAGAAACAACAAATTCAGAATCCATTTCTGCCCCCCTCAAATCTCCTCTCTTCCTTGTGTCTTTTTCCTTTTGCCATCTCTCCCCTTTCCCCCTTTCCTTTGGTTCCTCCCCTCCCTGCCAACTTTTGTCCTTCTTTTCCCTCCCCTGACACTTCCCTCATTTTTGGCCAACAAACTTGGTTTCAAGCAAGTTTCTGGTCCCTAAGTGGGAAAATATGGATCTATGCCTCTGTCAAGGTTGATTTCAGCTTGCCTGTATGAACCATACTTTATGGATTTCTATGATTGACAATGTACAAAATATTGTTCCATATTTTTACCTGTAGGTAACTTAAAATTATTCAGTTGTGCTTGCTCTGTGCTGTGTCTTTTCTTGTTGCTACTGTAGCAATTTATCATACAGAAATTCATCATCTTCTACTTCTAAAGGCCAGAAATTCAAAGTGAGTTATTGATGGGGGATGTCCTTCTGTATGCTGTGAATATATGTTTCTCTTATTTGTTGATGAATAAAGCTGTTTCCACCAATGGACAGGCAAGGTTTAGCTAGGTGGGAAATCCAAACATGGATAGAGAAAGGTGGTAGGTGGGGTCAAGAGATCCCATGTAACTAATGGGAAGATGGGATGCCCAGGCATTCTCCAGTAAGCCAAGACCACATGGAGAAACACAGATTAATAAGAAAAAAATTGGTTAATAATTAAGAAAGAGCTAGCCAATAAAAAACCCAAGCTATCAGCCCAATAATTTGTAATTAATATAAGCCTCTGTGTGTTTATTTGGGACTAAAGGACTGTGGGACTAGGCGGGACAGAAACTTCCATCTACATGCGGCGCTTCAGTCTACAAGTTATTTCCCTAATTTAGTCACTGGGTTAAAATCTAGTTTAGTAACTAGGCTAGAAACTGGTTAGTGGCAGTATGGATATTTGAATGAGGATGGCCCCCACAGGTTTATATATTTGAATGCTTGGTCCCCTGTTAGTGAACTCTTCGGGAATAATTAAGATGTGTACCCTTGTTGGAGGAGGTGTGTCCCTGGGGGTGGTCGTTGGGGTTTCAAAAGCTCATTTCAGGTCCAGTCTCACTCTGTCTGCTGCCTGATCCAGGGCCATGCCTGCTGTCTTCTGCCATGCTCCCACCATGATGATCATAGACTAGATGCCTTGGTCGTGGTGTTTCTTCACAGCAATAGAACAGTGGCTAAGACACACAGGAACTCTAGGATGTATTCTTTTCCTTGCCTTGTTCAGCTCCCAGAGGTTGCCTGTATTTCCCTCCTGGGTCTCTTTGTCCCCTAAAGTCAGCAGTTGTTCATGGAGTCTTCATCACACGGCATCCTTCTCACTCTGCCTGCATCACTAGTTGACTCCTAGGGACCCTGATGATGCTTTGCATCATGCAGTAATCCTAGATCATCTCCCTAACTTGAGGTCAAATGGTGAACAATTATGATCTGCCTTCAATTTTAATTCTTTTCTTCGTAAAGTAACATTTTCACAGTCTCAGAGTTAAGATGTGCACATATCAACACATAGTCCTGTCTGTTATAACTGTTCATATGTCAAATGACTGCGACATATGGTGGGTTTTAAAGAGACAAGCCCCTCTGCTTTCTTCTTGAACTGAAATTATTAGTTTGTTGATATTTTTTTTTACCATTGGTGACTTTCTTGTCTCCAGAATATGAGATAACTAACGTGTTATGAAATACATGATTTTCAAAACTAAAAAGAAGTCAGCATAAAAATTTCAAAACCCCTTTGAATGTGGGAAGTGAGATTTCATTGGAAGGGGGGCTATAAAAACCTGGAATTGCATGTTTGGAAGGTGAAGTATACCAACCTGCACAGCCTGTCCTCCAAGAGATCGATCCAACTGAACAGTCAGGAATGCAGACATGGTCAGCTCATCTCTTGTAGCATTTGCTCCTTGCCTTGAGGAATGTAAGCAAATTACACTGGCTTGTAGTTAACCTTTCAACAGCCTCTCATGCAACCACTTCAAAAAAAAAAGGCCTGAGATATGGTAAAATATCAAAAGGAAGCAAATGGTTCAACATGTCCAGAACAATCAAAGCTACAGGTAGTCTGTTAAATACTAACCCTAGATTTCCCTGTGGGTTTCTAGAAATGCATACAGTGAATATTTCCATCTCCATTTTAAAGAAACCATGCCTTAACCCCTTATATGACTTTGCTAAGTAGTCATGTCTGTTTAATGCCTGTTTTTTGGGGACATTGTCCCCAAAGCACATATGATCTGAGTACTAGATGTCTGATGTGATCAAGGGAGGGTTCTGTCTCACACAACATAGAGTTCAGTCATTTGTAGCATGATCTGTGGCACCTGAGCTCCAAAAGGACTCACCATGTGTAGATGATCTGTCCTCTGGGATAAGTGTAGAGGATAATGTAGCAGTCGCCACCATAGAACTCGCCATAGGAGTTTGGGTCAATCTGGACTCTACCACTGTTCTCTACGCGCCAGATCTGAAAAGCACAGAGTAGACATAAACTCTTACAAGTTCACTGACCTAAACGATATTCATAAACTATAAATAGTTACTCATTATCAAGCAATGTTCAAGTTACTTTTCCAACCAGTTTATAATCAAGCAAAAGCGAGATCAATGAATCCAACAACTTTGTGGCTTTTAAATTTCTACTTCTTTTGCTTCCTCCTCAATATTTACTCAATTCTGAGAATTTTACTGTTGATTGTTTTGATTTTAAATTTTGTTGTCATTTTGTTTTGAGACAGGATTTCCCTATGTATCCCAGGTTGATCTTTAACTCATGACTCTTCTGTCTTAGCCTAATAAGTGAAAATATTATGGGCTTGTGCCACCATGCCCAGTAGTTCTCTCTCTCTCTCTCTCTCTCTCTCTCTCTCTCTCTCTCTCTCTCTCTCTCTGTGTGTGTGTGTGTGTGTGTGTGTGTGTGTGATTGAAATCATGAAAATAATTATGGCATTACTACAATAAAAACTATGTACGATTCAACCCAGAAATGTGCTTCAACATTAGAATAAAATATTTTCATCACTTGTGAAGTGGCAAGTGAGCAAGAGGCCACCAGACACTGTATTGTGTACATGTGTATGGCACAATTCCTCCCACATGTGTGCTGGGGAGGAGCAGTGCAGTACTGGCTTTACACTGTGGAGTGAGGAATCGGGAGGAACAGTGAGGGACTTAGAAGAAGCATCACTGCACCATCCCTCTAGAGAGTAGAAGGCTCAGCAACACAGACCCACCATTGTCAAGAGCCTAAACAGAGCCACAGAGTTTAGCATCTCTAGTGTGGTATAGGAGACCTTCTCAGACAATCTGTGGCCAGAGCTGAAGACCGCACTGTAAGCACAGCACATGCTGAGGAGCTCCAGCTGCTCAAGTGCATCCTATCCAAGCTGCCTATGCCACACTCCAGAGAGGATACCCAAGCAGGAGGGGTTGCTACCAGGAAGTTGATCCCCTTTGATGACATCAGAACATTTATGGTATTGTCATTTCCCACTCCCAGCTTAGCATCATACTCCAGTTCTTTGAAAAGAGGAAAATGTAATCCCTAGATGTAGCAACTATACTTGGGTCAAGCATTGTAATAAGACCTAGGAATGTAGATATGAAGTATTTAACTGTTGTCCTCAAAAAAACTGATGGAAGGTCAAGGAGAAATCTGTTAGTAAATAGGCATTCTATGATTCTTATGTGGTAAATTCTGTGAAGAGTATCATCTTCAAGCAACAAGACAAGCATCTTCAGTGCTGATGGGACAGGCGTCTTCAGTGCTGATGGATGACTCCTCAGGAGAGGCGGTGCTCTTACTGGATGGAGTTGCTAGGAAAGGGACTGACTGACAATAGTTCATGGAAGAATAGGGGTACTTAAGATGACAAGAGGAGACCACGGCTCCAATCCTGAAGGTGCCAGCAAGGTGGGACACCTTCAGTAAGGCTAGAGGGCCATGAAGACATTTAGAGGAGAGATTACGTCATCCAGTCCTCATTAAGTTATATAATTGGAGAGTGGACTGAGTTTGAAGAGATTTGAGTTTTTTTAAACAATTAGGAAACAGAGTTCTAGCCATTTTGATCTAAATTGGTATAATCAATACACTCAAGTTGAATGCTCAGAAGAGGTCTGCTTTTAGCTCATTTTATTTCCTGGATACTTCCAACGGGTAGGAGGAGAAAGAAATGGATGGTACATTCTGAGTACAGCCCCAGACACAGGCTTTCTGGTAGAAAGAGCTGTTGCACCTACCACCACCTTAAGGTCAACATGTTCATGTACAAATGGGCCTAGAGCCCAGCAACAGCTCCCTGGCTGTACTCCTCACCACTTGGTGTAGTCTTCGGTCAATCGCCTTACTAAGTAAAATCCACCTTTTAAAAGGATTTATAGATTGTCAAAGTTGTATTGCCCCTCCCAGAAACTGCCACAAAGAGGCCTGATAAAAGCACAAACAGAAAGAGAGAGACATAAAAATACCTCCACCGTGCCAGAGCCATCGTCCACCATATTGTGCTGGGCTGCCATCTGCGGAGAACTGTGCAGTTTGGAGGCATCAAATGGAATCTGCTGTATGTGAGCCACTTTCTCTGTGATGTAGACCTTCCCAAAGCCATCGCTCTGGTCTTTATCTTTCCAGTCCTTAAAGAACTGTTTGAAAATTGGTGTTTCACCGCCTTCAGGAAGAACCTGAATCTGCAATTCAAAATAATAATTAATGAGAAAATAGGTGACAGGGGAAAATATCCACAGTATGAGAAAGAAGGAAATAATGAAAAAATACTGTCCTTGTTTCTGTGACTATGCCTGTAACTTTGTAGGTTCGTGCAGCTACAGTAATTCAACCTAGGTTTTTCTCACAACTAACATCATTGCGGCTAAAGTTGAATGACAAAGCAAAGATGAGAAGATTTCCTGTGATACCACTACATAAATGTTTGTTCCCCTTAAGTTCACAAGAGATTTGAGTAGAAAGAAACTATCCTACTGTATATTTGTGCCAGGATAAATATGGAGAAAAAGATTAGCTAGTTAATGTCTGAGTTGATCCAGCGGAAACCAAATATGATGAGGATGTTACCCAAGTCTTCCCAATGGTCTGAGGAGTGGTTAGGCAAGTTATTATTATTATTTTTTGAGACAAGGTTTCATGTAACCCAGGCTGGCCTCAAACACCCTACATTGCTGAGAATGGCCTTGAAGTGAGCCCCCTGCTAGCACCTACTGAGGGCTGATATTACAGGTGTGTACTGCTACACAGCCAGTTGCATGCAATACTGGAAATGGAGTTCAGGGTTTCACACACTGGGAAAGCACTCTCCCACCCATCCCCAGCTCTGGGTAGCCCTATAGTCTGATTCTACTTTCTGCAAAATGTTCCCCACAAAAAGAGATATGTCTCTCACACACACACACACATACGCACACACACGCATGCTCACATGCACGCATGCCCTCACACACGCACTACTTTGAAACAAACTTTTCATGAGCTTTGTGGAGACATCATGACTCTTAAGTCTTGATGGTTTTCCCAGTGATTTCTTTTCACACATACTTGAGTATTGGTAGAATAATTCATTTTCCGTAGGAACTCCTCAGCTGTCTTCATTGCAGTCTTCCTCTCCTGTGGGTTAGCATTTTTACCTAAAATGAAAAATAAAGAGATAATTACAGAAGTGTAGTCACACTGCATTGTACATGGCCATACCACCCTGAACATGGCCAATCTCATCTGACCACGGAATCCAAACAGGGTTCAGCTGCTTCCTCCTTGGATGAGAATATACTATATAAGTACTGCATACCAATAAATAAATAAATAAATAAATAAATAAATAAATAAACACAGCTATAATTTAGTTTAAATATAGCATGGGAAATGGCAAAATTCCCTGCACGTTAAATACATTTAATATCACAGCAATTGATAGTACATTTAACAATATATATTTCTGTTACTCAAATGCTTTCCTTAGCTGCCTAACCTTTGCTGAATAGTTCCAAATATTTGACTAGCTGCATCTTGGGTGAGATATTTACAAACTGTATCTCAAGGGGGATGCTTTTTTTTTTTTTTTTTTTTTTTTTGAAATCGGGATGTTTTCTTTTCCCTCCTGGGAAAAGAGCATATGTGTGAGCATGAAATATGGCAAACATATCAATGACATCTCTTACCTTTCCATACAAAAATTTGTTTTGCAGTACCATGGTCCAAGATGAAGCATTCTTCAGAAAGCAGCATTGCCATGGAGAAGGGGTTTTCTTCTGCCACCAGAGTCACTTTCATGGACCCACTTGCATCTGAAACCTAACAGAAAAACCACAAACTCAGTGATTTAATTTTGGGAAGAAACAAGCATTCTAAAATTGTGCCATGGTGATGGTCACCCACTCTATGGATGCAGTGAAAGTGGACTGCAAACTTTGAGAACATGAGCCTTGTGATGCAGATAGCAAATCTGTCCTCGAGATAAGGAGACAGAGCATTCCTGAGCCCACCTGTATCCCAAACACTTTTGTAAAAAGACTCTTAGAGGCAGAAGAACTGCTAACAGAAAGTTAAATTTTGACACCATCTCTAAAACATCAGAAAACCAGGGTGGTGATAATCGCACCATGTAAGGGCTCTCACAGTGCTCAAAAGCTCTTTTGTTCTATGATCATCTATTTTAAATTTTGGAGCAACCTTTTCAAGAGGTGATGATCCTACACTCATTGCCTGCACACACAAAGCTAAGCATAAACTCGTTTAGGCTCCAGTCACTGGGTCCCTGCCAGTGTAGCCACCGCAAGGGGGCAGCATCCACAGAGTGCAGTTTATGGTTGCAGATTATTCCATCTCAGTCCTGAAGTTTAACAATGCTTTGAGAAAACATTCAAGGTAAACTGTTTTCAATCACAGATGGAGATAAAGCTTTTAAGAAGGTTTTGTAGGTAGCTGTATGGAGTTGGAGGTGCTATTTATTTATGAACATTTACAACACACTGGTTTTCAACAGTCAGCTTGTGGGCTGTTGGATGATTGGCTGCATATTTGTTAAATATGAAGGCTTCAGACCCAGATTCAATCAGTAAACAAGTTTTGTATTGACAATGAGAGTTTACATTCTGTACATTTAGAAAGTGCCCACAGTGACTTGGCTTCCCGGTCTTATTCGGCCCCAAATGATTTCCAAGATTATACAGATTAAATTGTAAAATATACTATAGCCCCACTAGAGGGAGCCATGGCTCAAGATTAATATTTAATTCATACATAATGCTGTCCAAGAGGGAAAAGAGTTTTGATCAGTGGTGAGAAGTAAATGACATCTTTTAGACTGTAAAAAGAGTAATGAAGCCACAAACTAGTTAACAATGTCTGTATGAATCGTGTCAAAAATGTCAGTATTTAGAAGATATGATTATCAAAACATATTTTCTGTATCACCTACAAAGAAAGGAAGCCACTTCCCCTTTGTAAAAAGGAAGTTATATTACATAAAAATAGTAATTAATCTTCATTCAGACCTATGAAGCTGTAAACTAGAAAGTTCCTTAAAGGGACCAGGTGTGTTGGTGCACACCTTTAATCCCAGCACTCAGTAGGCTGAGGCAGGTAACTCTCTGTGAATTCCAGGCCATCCTGGTTTGCATAGTGAGTTCCAGGACATCCAGGACTACAACAAGAAACCTAATCTCAAAATAACATAAAAAAAAAGTAAGAAAGTTCGTTAGAGACTACCAAAATGTGTTTGTTTGTTTGTTTGTTTTTCTTCTTGTTGAAAGGGGAAAATCACTGAATTGTGCAGGGAGGTTACCACCTGCTCTAAATCACTTGCTTAGGAACCTGTAAGAAAGGGGAGGGGAACATGAAGACTCATCCTCAGTCTCCTTCACTGCTGTGTTTTGTGACTTTTGTCCATTTCACCAAGAGTAGATTAAAAATTCTATTGTTGGAAGAAACCTGAGTAATCACCAAATAAGACCACTTTGTTCCTCCTTCCTCTCCTTGTACCTCCCCACACCTCCTCTGCCAGTAGGTCAGCCAGTGCCTGTTTAGGGAGGGTTCCACCCAACTCCTTCCTGCTGCCTGACTGGAGATTTCACCCTCCTGGAACAAAGGAAGCACTCTTGGGACTGCAAGGATATTCTAAAGATCAAGATTTTACAATCTTACCAAGAATTTATAAGAAAAAGCTTACAAGATGTTTTATTCTACAAAGGAAACATTTTATCAGCTATATTATATCAAACTATTACAAACTAACAGATAACTATGCACTATTGTGTAAGTTACAGCAGGCACTATGTTGTCATGAATGAAAAGAACAAAAAGCTATAGAAGTGAACATTTTAAGACATGCATGTAAAAATTCTCTATGAGGGCAAGACAAGTTTCCCACTGTAGTAGAGACAGTCTCTCCAGTGTTGAACTCAGAATCCCACCCCAGCAGACTCACCATGTAGAGCTTCGCCATCTTCCTGTTAGTTATGTCTGCCACGGCATCGTCGTCATTGTCCCCATCCGGAAGTGCAGGCTTTTTTCCTAAAACCTGGGGAAGGGTGACATGGAGAGTAAGTAATGCAGAATTTTAAAAACAATGAACCATCTTACATTTATGAAGACATCAATTATGAAACACATGCAAAAGGTATTCATGTGGATTCAATAAATGGTTCATGACAAGATGTGAGCTCATAGCTGTTCCTCTCACCACTCCTTTGCTCTAACATGTGGACTCTATTCTTCTGACGCCGTAAACTCAATAAAACACATTTTCCGACAAATTGCTTTGCTCATGGGGTTTTGTCCCAGCAACAGAAAAGTAACCAGGACACCAATACTACATGAAATTATCCACTACTGAATGTTAATACACATGTATACAAACCTTTCATGGGCGTGTGTACAGTCTCAAGTTGAGAAAGTCACCTGGGAACTTGACATCTTTTAATTATGTGGTGAGCAAACATTTTAATTATTATGTAATCTAAAAAGATGAAATAGAGTTTGTGGGGTTTTTTTTACTAGAAGTTGGATCATACCCCAAATTAAAATACTTGAAATGAAAATCTCCTTTTAAAGACATCTGTAGTTTGATAAAAGCAAGTGAGGCACTGAAGGATCACTCAGTCTCCTTGTGAAGCCAACCAAGACAACAGTTGGGAATAAACAATTCTGGTTAAGGGTATAACTAATCCTGGCAAGTCTTCCATTGGGCCAACTGAGTCTAGGAACTGGGGTGTACTTTAATTTTTAATTTCCAGACAACAATTCCCACATGAGCCAGGTGTCTTAATTAGCCCTTCGAAGGATGCTAGCACAGTTGGGACTTGAACCAATGCAACTTGCTGAAAAGAGGCCAACTCTGGGGTAGAGGTGGCATATGCTGCCATGTCCCTACGGATCATCTTAAGCATCAGTTCAGCAAGTGAGCCATTACCAAGTACCTCATGGGGAATGAACACTAGTTTCCAAACACCTTGCCTGTCCCTTAAGGATTTTACACTCTGCCTAGAAAGAACAAAATAATTAAGTTACATCACTCTAATGAAGGCCCCATCCTTGCTACCGTGGGCCAAAATTATGCCACCAATTTATGCCGCCAACTCCCTCCTGCCTCCAACCTCACCTCATTTTCGTTGTAAGCTGCCTAGCACACTGGCTGCCAACCCTTATTTCATATTATCCCTATGCCTCAAGGTTATAACTTGACCAGGGAAATCCTGCCATTTGAAGCTCATATACACCTACAGGACATTCTCCTAAGTGAAATAAATCAGACATAGGAAGTAAGATTCATCATGCTGTCACTTACATGTAGAATCTGAAGTATTTGAACTTATGGGAGCAGGAATAGGTTGTGGATTACAGAGATCAGAGCATGGCAGAAACAAGACTTTAGTCACAGGGCCCAAATTTCAGTTTAAGATGAAAAAGTTCTAGAGAGCTAATGAACAGCACAGTAAAGTTAAAGGACTGCATACATGAAATTGTTCAAGAGAGTATAGGTCCTAACATCATTTTGTCTACCTTCAATATATACAATTATTATCAATCATACCTGAAACTTGATAGAAAATTCAAAACAAAAGGCCTTTTACTTATGCTGCAAAAGTCATTCTTCCACTTCAGTGTGCTCAGCCAGCATCTGGGTGACAGGACAACACAAGCTGTCAACTGCCAGAGCTGAGTCAACAGGGTCAGGCTAAGGCCTAGGAAACGGTTACGTTCAGAGTTGAGTACTATCCTGTCAAGCCAGACCAGAAGGTGGGGATCCCAGAACTCTTCCAGATGTGGACATTATCCACCCTGTACCCTCTCAGGACTCTCTCCATGGCACCTTCTTTCTCTAATCAGGATGACATCCTCCATGTCCCCTGTGGGAGGCATGCCCCATGCTTCCCCTGGGCTTTTCCTCTTACTGGATGAAGCCTCTACCTGGGGTGTTGAGTGTAGAAAAAGCAAATCTGAGCGATTATTCCTGAGCTGGCTCTGTTAGTCATGATGAAGTTCACAATAGTCCCTGCTCATTGACTGGTTGAGTCACACAGGAACTTCAGTCATGTGATTCCATCCTCATTAGAGTCAGATACCATTACCGCACCCCCCTCCCCCAGAAAAGGGCTGACACTCAAAGAGTTGACTTGATTTCCTACAGCTAGCTGGTAAGTGCTGAGGCTAAGATTCCCACTGTGCTCTGTTAATGTGTTAGTTAACTCAACATAATTGGCCATATATGTCCCTGAATCAGGCAAAACTTGTCAAGTTTTTGAAACAGATGAAAAGATTCATTTCACAGATAATCTGATGCTACAGGGGTCTGCATTTTCCCTTTGACCTATGATCTAGTTCTGTAGTAAATAGATGACAGCAAGTCACAAAGTTTTAGTTCACAGAGAAGCACAGGGTTTTGCTTCTACAGACAGGACGGAGGGCCTAGTCCCTACTCCAAATGACTTGACAGATTTTGTTGACCCCTCCTGGAAGGCATCACCCTCCCTGTGGAGTAGGGGGGGATGGGATAGGAGGGTGGTCAGGGAGCATGGGAGGGAGTGAGAGAGGGAGGGAGGGAGAGAGTACTGGGATCGATATGTAAAATAAGAAAAATAAATAAATTAAAAAAAAAAAAGGAATCACCTCTACATTGCACAAGGGGCCAGCATGGCCGCTGCTTGCAAATTCACTCCCACATGCTGCCCGTGCACATGCCTGTCATGTGCTTCTTTTGTTATAATACATTTTTGCTTCTTTAAGGAATGAGTTAATCGCCATCTTTGATATTAGTCTGTGGTAGTCTGAATGAGAACAGCACACCTATTTGGATACTTGGACAGCAGTCTGTGGAACTATTTGGGAAAGATTAGGAGGTGTGGCTGAGTTGGAGGAGGTGTGTCATAGCAGGTAGGCTTTGAGGTTTCAAAAGCCATGCATTATGGTGGGAGTTCTCTCTTTCTCAAGGCTGTTGTCTCAACATTTGAGCTACTGCTCCAGCACCATGCTTGCCTGCCTGCCTCTTGCTGTGCTCCTGGCCATAATGGTCATAGACGCTAACCTTCTAGAACCACAGTTCTTAACCTGTGGGTCACGGCTCCTTTGGGGGTCACATACCAGATATTCTGCATATCATATATTTACGTTATGATTCATAGCAGAAACAAAATTGTAATTTTGAAGTACCAATGAATATAATTTCATGGTTTGGGAGTCACCACACCATGAGGAACTGTATTAAAGGGTCACAGCATTAGGAAGGTTGAGAACCATTGTTATAGAACCATGAGCCCCCAAATTAAAAGCTTTCTTTTTTACGTTACCTTTATTATGGAGTTTTGTCACAGCAATAGAAAAGTAACAAAGACAGTCATTGTATATTGACTTCCTTCGTTGGGTTTTACTTCTTTGAAAATTACCTTTGACATCTGCCCTTGACTTGTGTAAAGCATGTGTATTGGACAGAGTCTGCATATGTATTTCTCCCTGACATTAGGCATGTGTGTATTCGGTAGTGATTCTGATGTCATTATGTGCAATGCCAAGTACTTTTAAAGTCTGACTTAACAGATGCACTGGACACCACTCGAGGCAGTGTACATTTGCTGTTGTTTCATGGTCACAACAACCCAAGGAGCCAGTCCTGTTAGTTATTTACCCTGTTTTACAAAAGAAGAAGGAAAGGCTACATAAGGTTTAGGGTTTCACTGCTTTAAGTGACAGATCAATGTGCCTCTGGTTTCAGATTATATATTCTTAACTAATACACTGTGCTTGCCTTGAGGGTACTTTCAAAGGCTCCAAAGGTTTTTAATCTCTACACAGATTGCATAGAAGTACTTTTTTTCTCCCACTGGGATTAGCCCAGCATGGTGATGAGATGGTACAGTACATGCTCTATTCATGGGGATTAGAGTGTGCCATTTCCCACTCCACAAAACTTCTTTTCATCTTCCTCCAATACCTGTGTTTTTCTTTTCTTCCTTCTTGGGTCTGCCTATGCTGTGGTCATTAAATTCTGAGACAGAGAAGTTCTTTCATTGTATCAGAGTATTGTATGGATTAAGAGAACTTAAAAGAGGAAATAGTAGGTTAGGATGTAGCTCAGTTGGTAAAATGCTTGCCAAGGATGTATGAAACCCTAAGTTTGATCATTGGCACTACATAAAACTGGGCATGGTGCTGCACACCTCTAATCCTAACACTTGAGAGGCAGAGTCAGATGGATCTCTGTGAATTCCAGGCCAGCCTAGTCTACAAAGTGAGTTTCAGGACAGCCAAAGCTTTGTCTGGAAAAAAATAATTTAATAAAAGAAATTCAAGATCATCCTTGAGTTTGAGGGTAGCCTGGAATACAGCAGACCCTGTCCTAAAATATAATAAATAAAATGCTAAATAGGGATGATCAATAGCCTAAGGAAATGTAATCAACAATCACTCTCTGCTATGAGGAAAAATTCTAGAATTCTAGAAATTATATTATAGGAGGGAAATATTCATATTCAAGTAAATATTTAGGCTTCTAAGCATTATCAACAATATGAACACATAAAACAGTATATGTATAGAAAAATATTAAAAAGTAAATAAAATGTTTTCCTTCAAACATAGTATTTGGGGTGAATTTTTTTCTTTGTTTGTTTGCTTGTTTTGCTTTGTTTTTTTTTGTTTGTTTGTTTTTTTCGAGACAGGGTTTCTCTGTATTGCTTTGGAGCCTGTCCTGGAACTTGCTCTGTAGACCAGGCTGGCCTCCAACTCACAAAGATCTGCCTGCCTCTGCCTCCCAAGTGCTGGGATTAAAAGCATGAGCCACCCACACCTGGCCTGGGGTAAATTTTTCTCTAAAAATTTTTGTAAGTATTTCACAGAGTTTTGTAATAAGTATATTTATTTCTTTAATGAATAAAACAAAAAAAATTTACTGCACAAAAAAATTACTTCTTGTTTTGTTTTATGTTTTTTTCCTTCCAAACAAAACAGCTATGTCCTTACTTCATATGGAGTAATTATCATTTCCAATTCACTACCATAGACATCTTGAGCCATTTATGTCATCAA